CACTGGTGTATTATCACCTAGTGTATAGTGTTGTGATGGTTTGACCCAACATAATCTCCTAGGCTATTTAAACTTCAATCAAGGATAAAGTGATTTTACCGATGCCACACACATATAGTTTTAGGAGAGTATTGTCCATTGCATGATCATAGCATATTCATTGCTTTTTAATTATGAATTGGATGGATATTGAGATGTGTGGAACAAACCTTGTTTCATGTGATTAAGTATGTTGTTTAGTGTGCCTAGATTATTATGAATTAGAAATATATATTTGTGGTTGTTTTATATGCATAGTTATATATGTGTGACTATTTCATCATTTCCTACACTGGTAGCTAGAGTGATTCTCACTCTTCTTTTCTTTCGGTGTTTTGTTTTGTTGTGTATGTGTAGGTGAGTTTAATTATGGATGAGTTTAAGTTTTATGCTTGAAATGCTATGATAGGAAATAACATTAGGGCATTAGTTAAGAACTATTTTTCCATTCTTATTGTGTTTTGAACTTAAGTTTCTTTCCTTAGAAGATGTTTCTATATTAGTTGATATTCTATACTTTAGTTTTAGTCTTGTTATTTTGGAGATTTGAATGTGATACCTTTATCCTTAAGTTTCCATTTAAAAAACAAAGTATTTAAGAAAACTAGTATTATATTCTTGAATTTGTATATGAGGGTTAGAGAGTGTCACATAATTGACATCAATCTACTTGAAATCTAGATCAAAAAATGTAATTCATAATTACAAATCATGAAATTAGATCTATAAAAGAAGAGAAAAAGATAAAGAATTTGTATAGAAAAATTAAATCATAATTAAAATGAAAATTTTATCAAAAACCTTGAAGCCTTGAATTGATTAAGTAGATTAGCTAAGTATTTCCATCAAAGTATTGCAGCAAAATCAAAAAGAAAATATGAGAGAAATTTGCAAAAGAGATAGGGAGAGAGAAAGAAAGAGAATTGAGAGAAACTTACACGAGAAACAAGTGTAAAATCTAAAAAATGAGGATTATGTCTACAACTCAAGCTATTAACACTTATTTATAGACATTGAAGTTATTGAACCTAAATCCAGTTAATTACAAACCCAACCCACTAATTACATATGTTTAAACTTCTAAGTTTTACTCTTAATGAGAATTCCCACTCAAGTGTAGAGGTAGAAACTTGAAATGCATTTTGGGGCCTTAAACCGTTAGAACTAGCTTTGGCTTGTGAGTGACACTTTTGTAGATCTTTATCTTAGCCTTCCAATGACAGCAAGATTATCAAATTTCAACTTTAGAGGCTCAATATATGATCTGTGAAAGACAATTTGTCAAGGAGGGGAAAATTATGAAAATTAACTAGAAATTAGAATTTAAAACATTCAAGGCCACTAAAGTGAATCACAACCAAATTACCAATTTAAAACACTCATAAAATCCAATGAGAACAAAACAATGCAAAAAATGATGTACAAATATGCCCCCATCAATGTGTTTTATAGGAGATATTTTTTAAATATTATTAGAATTTACATACCTGGATTGTCGTACATATATGATATGGTATTATTCAAACTTCCAAGCCAAATTTTCTTAG